GTTACTAAAAAGAATATTATTACAACTACCAAAGGTGGGAACTTGCATGTTGTGACTTGGACTCGAGTCAGACTTGAGTCACTTTTTTTGGGACTTGAGACTTGACTTGATAAAATGGACTAAGACTTGGTACTCAACTTGGACTTGAAGGTCACTGACTTCGGACTTGACTCGGACTTGAGACCTGTGACTTAAGAAAACTTGAGAAGCACTTTTAAATCTGAATTCTTTCTGTTCTGACTATAATGATTGATGACATGATGACATTTAATAGGGAAAATTTACAAATTTAATCTCTTGTATACTATACAAATATCTCTTGTATACTATATAAATACACCATACCATATACTGTTTAAGTACAGTTTGGTTTAAAATTCTTATAAACTGCCAAAATTGAAGTTATATTTGGTACTTTGGTTTAAAGACTTGAAATAACTTGAAGCTCAAATCAGACAACTTGGACTTGACTTAGAATTATGGGCCAGCGACTCGAGATTTGCCTATTTGACTTGGAACTTGACTCAAACTTGAGGTCAAAGACTTGAGACTTACTTGAGACTTGCAAAACAAAGACTTGGTCCCACTGCTGACACCTACTGTCAAAAAGCTTCTATGTGATAGGTTACTTCAACTACTTTATACTATAATTACCTGATTAATTTAGTACTACAACTACTATGTGATTATTGATCCTACTGCTTATATGTGTAAACCATTTATACAAGCATCTAATGGGACATCTAACAGAAAGCAGGATCTTGTAAACTGTATTTTATTATGATACTGTTAATTAGCTGGAAAGCTCTAAAAATATTAGAATTACAATGCATCAGCAACATTAAAGTTCCTGAAGCTTAGTGTTTGACAGTTTTGGCTATTGGGAATAATAATGAGTCTGTCCAACAACACTTATCTTTGCCCAAGACATTATTTTTCATTCATTTTTCAAGGTCCTATCTTCGGTGAAATCGACTCTTGGGAGCTTTAAGTCATGTCAGAATGTTGTTGCCTCATCAGAAACATACCTGGAGTTGTGTTTTGTTTTGTTTCATTCACAAATGTTGGACTAATCCTGTATTATTAGTCTGCCTTCATCCCCAAAACTCAAAATGCTCTAGTCTATTCCACCTTGTTATGTAGTAAAGCAGTAGTTCTCAAGTCAACAGCTACCTTTTACCTTTGGCTGTGGTGCAGAGGGGGCGGGGCACATGTGGGCAGGTGCGCGTGCATGTGTGTCTGTGCAAGGGTGTAAAAGCGTGCACTTACCTGTTACCCAGTTTTGGTTGAAGGTCAGGGCTGGGTAGCTGTAATTTTTGTTGACCGCCACTGTTCCTCTATACTCACCCTTTATTTTCCAACTGGTCCCATCCATCTTCTTTGCTGTGCTGTGATAGCTGCATGTATGGTAATAAATATCCAAAATGCATTCTGGATCCCATGTTTACAATAGCCTCCAAGTGCGTCACAAAACTACAACCCAAGGACCCACTCTGATCTTCCTGAGTGGCTATAAGGTTGGTCAAGAAGAAGGTCTACACACAGTAAAAAATAAAATTGAGAGATAAGTAATAAAATATAAAATCACAGCTTTATACAAGGGGTCATAGGGAGACAGTGCAACAATGATATGATGACTGACAGGACAGGTTTATAAGATTGTGTAACATGGTCCATTTAAACCAGTGCCCCTTCACTGCCTTTAACAACCTATTCCATCAACCACTCATTATGTGCCATTATCTTGTGTAAACAATGCTGCATCCAAGGTAAAACAGTTTAACTCATACTGCCATAAGACTGAGACTATATGATCTTTACATAAATTTTTAACTCATACTGGAAGTAAAAAGTATTAAAAAAGTAATAAAATAGTGGTGCTTGTTGTTGGCTAAATCTCACATATTGCCAAGATTTTATTTTATCACTGATTTACAGTGCCGCTAGCCAGGCTGGTGAGAGGCTAGTGCCTCGGCTCAATTTCATTTCTCTCCAGCGACTAGGTCAGGAATCGGAATACACTAGACGGTTTTCAAGAACCCCAGAAGTGCAAGTCCAGGCACCAGCCAATCAGTGAAGAGCCATACATTCTGTGTTGGCAATGATTCTCGAGATCAAGGATTTAAAGCTGAGACAAAGAGAATGTTTGGTGAATTTTATCAAGGGGAAAGACATTATTGCCCTTCTGCCTATGGGATTTGGGAAAAGCTTAATATACCACTTAACCCCGTTAGTGGCGCATTACGTAGATCACAACCAAATAGTAGTGATTGGTTAAATAAAAAAAATTAAAAAAATACCTGCCTACCGTCGAGCGAATGAATCCTAACGCTGTGAGGTCAGACGGTTTCTATGAAGTGAAACTCGCTAATGAATCAGGCTAGAGACTATATGGTCCTAGCATCAATTTTTAACTCATAATGGAAGTAAAAAGTATAACAAAATGAATTAAATAGTGGTGCTTCTTGTTGACAAAATCTCACATATCCTTAAGATTTTATTTCATCACTTATTTACATTGACAAATTATACACTTAAATAGACCCATATGAACTTGTGGTATGGTCTTTTTAACCTTGGATGAGAATCAGTGAAAGTCTTTAAGCAACCAGTGTAGGCAACAACTGATCAATAGATTTTAGATTAGATTTGATTACAATGAAATGTGACACTGTATACATTTCCTGTTCATATAAATAATGTAAAAGTCTTTTCAGCCTTGGCCAAAGATTAAGATGTAAATCACTACAGCATGAATTGAAAGATGAATACAAGTGAATGGTAAAGCACTTGTAGCACATTTGTAGTTTAAGTGCGGCGATTGTGCAGACATGAGGGCCTCTTAATGTAATTAGTCTGTCCTTGTGCTCTTGGGCTGGTGACCTTCTTGGGACACTTCAGAGATCCTTTAGGGCAGCCTATAGAGGGGACTGAGATTGGATCAATACAAGCAACACTCTCTCCCTGTCATCCATCTCATGACGAATACTGCTGGTGCTGGTGAACTATGATGTCATTCACTTTACAGGAAGAGAGAAGCTGCTTTTAAATGCATTTCTGCAAAGTGGATATTTTTTTTCTTCCTCCTCTTGGCAGGCATCCTCTCTCTTATGCCACTCTTGCTTTTCAGACACATTCTTTAAGTTGACTAGAAATTATTAGTGAAGCCATATTTCTGTATTTATTAAGCTATAGGCTATACAGTGACCACACCTTGACGATGTGGATGTGATGGTCATATAGGCCTATTTGTAGCTTCTGTAAGTCAATATTTGTCATAAAGAGATTGTGTTTCCCTGCCTAAAGTAGGTCACATTTTTATAGGCAGAGTATAATAATAGCCTATTGATCTTTTACTCAGAACACTTGAAATGAGAAACAAAAAGACCCATTTTGGACTGATAAGCCTACCCTAAAATTCTGTTGTCATTCAAAAATGGCTTACTTATATTATGGTTAAGAAAATATGAGATATTGACTTAACAGGAAATGGTTTTAGGATATGCCATCTGTTGCTTGGTGGGCTAATCCAAATGCTGTCATAAAAAGCATGTAGGGTCCACTTCCTTATTCTATTCTCAAACACAGCCTAAAAGTAAAAAATAAATAAAGGAACTCACGTGTGGCCATTTGCAGTAGTTCAGCTGCCCAGCCTTGCTTGTTTTTCATTCCACTTGTCCTAGTCTATATAAATTATCAACAAAAGTGATTGTCAATTGATCAATGTGGTTCTAGGCTAGGGTGACCAGCCTGGCCTAACCCTCACCCTAACCTTACCAGTTTTATAACATATTTCTTTGGATTAGAGACAGCGGATTTATGCTCTTTGCACACAGTGATCATATTTTATACCATAGTATAATACCTTAAATTTAAACTCATTTACATGAATATGCGTAGATAGTTCATTATTATGCTATCGAATAGGGCTCCAACTAAAGGTAGCACATATGGGCAGGCCCATTTTGGCCACTGAACAATGCTCCCAGTGTAAAATCATCATTATTCATTCATTTAGATGAATATGGGTAGAGGTAGTTCATTTCGACAGCCCTATATCTTCTATCATATAAGGCTCCAACTATATAAGAGAAAGAAATTACTAGAAATTACTTAAATCTTTATATTAAATAGCGTTAGATATATAATATTTACAACGTTTTTTACACATGGAAACAAAATAAAATGCGATATAATGAAAATGATAACGATAAAATGAAACATTAAATCCAGACTATTCGATCATCCAACGTAGGTATTCTGCCAATTTAACACGCACATGCTTAATTGGTCAAAACATACAATAAAACCAAAACACTTTTAGAATGATTATGCTTCGGGAGCTCAAATCGACATGAGGCATTTAAACGGTAAGCGAAAAATAAAATAAAATAAAAAAATAAAACGGTAAGAACTAGGGGGTCGTGCGCATGCGCAATAGAGATAGGCATGTCAAATCGGCGGTTACCTAAAATCGACAGGACACCTGGTTTGGATGGCCTCTTTACTGTTGGTAGGTAACAAATTGGTCAAAAATTAGGACAACTGGGGCATTTCTTGTATTAAACTGGGACAAATCAGTGGTTTTGGATCAATCTGGTGGGATTGGGAAACTGGGACTGTCCCGGGTAAACAGGGACGTCTAGTTACTTTACACTATAGGCACCGCTGATGTCACCAGTAAGAATCGACTCTCCCTCTAAACTTCCCAGTCTAAGCCGTGGTACATTTTCCTCCTCCTCTTCCTCCCTCTCCTCCTCCTCCTCCTCCAGCCCGCATCACCATCACCGCATCGCCGCCGCTGAGCTCACCCCCCTCCGCGGTGACGTAGCGCAGCATCCTCCTCCCCCTGTCCTCCGCGCACAGACCCGACACAGACAGAGCCATTTTGGACAGCGACGGGCCGGGGCGCATCCACTCCGTCGACCCCAGGGACATCACCGCGCCTTCGGATACACCTGACACGCCAGGGCAGGGCAGTGGGGGTGGGTAGGGACAGGATACGCCCGCTGTCATCCCCCGCGTCGAGCCGGCTTCACCTTGTTTTCATGGCGGGAGGAGGCTGCTGCTAGCGGGGCACGACCTGGAGGAGAGCAGCCGAGGAGGTGGAAGTGTGTCGGGATAGAGGCGAGCGCCAAAACCCGGGAAGGGAGACATTAGGTGGCACTGCAGAGGTAAGTTTTCTAGCTGTGTTATTTTACTATTCCTCATCTTGATAATACTGTCGTAACGAGGCAAGAACCTAGTTGTTTAGCGTTAAATCTCCTGGGAAGAGATGGGTATTGGGTGCGGCCATTGGAAAGTGTAAAGAATAGTAGGGATGCAATACGGAATGGATGGCATTACAGACGTCTGGACTGGACTGGACATCATGTATTGGCATGTCAAGCGTTGTTACATAGATTTAGTGTTAAAAAAATAATGTTATGATCGTAACATCTGAACTGCGACGATTTAATCCTGCATCTCTGGGGAAAAAGGTGAAGCGAAGGTAGAACGTAGCCTTAGGACGTAATGTTTCATCAGCTATTACTTTTACAAGGACATGTTTTTTTTTTTACCCCTGTTATTTTAATAATCAGCTACTGGGCCTATAGTATAAGATGGTGTGTATACATTTTTAGGCCTTACATGTCATAGTTAGAAATTAAGATTGGTACAGTAGGCGAGGTCTCACGTAACAGAGGGTACACTAAACATAACCCTACACCTGTACATCACATTGTATGGACATGACATTCATTTTGGTCACTGGGAAAATGGTGGACGCCCAGCTGAGCCACATCATCAGCTGGAGTGAGCATCCTGTGAGGAGATTAATAGCTATATTTTCATTTGGTTTTAACAGATTTTTTGCTTTGAGATCCTGTAATGAAACATGTTTCTAGTCTATAACCATTATTTGTAACACATTTCACCATTTCAGGCAATAATGGTACAAATATGGTACAGTCTAACTATGCCTCAGTGTTTTTCTGACACCTTTTTTACTGCAATGTTGATTGTTGTGGTGTATTTCTCAACATATGAAAGAATTCTGCCATATAACAATACCACAATGTAAAAAAAAATAATTATAAGCTGTTTTCCTCTTCCTTCTTGTGTGGTTTATGCTGTTTTCTGCTCTGCCCATCTTGCCTGTTACTGGAAGGTGGGTGACACAGCAGATTTATGGGTGAACTACTCAGATGAAACCAACTGCTGCTGCCGGTGCATCAATCATCTCGTTATCTCAGCCATGTTGCTCTGCCCAGACCTATCAACTAGACTAGACATAGACTGACTGATCACAATAATAAAAAAATACAGTTTACAAATGATGCGCCTAAAGGGTTTGTTGATTCAGGCTATATACTAGGATGTATAGAATAGAGACATTTTTTTTTTACATCAGTTCATCATATCTTTATAACCTCAATCAAAAGAGCAGTTTCTTAAAACCAGTTAAAAATCTGGTCTAGATCCAATAACTTCACAAACCAGTGTCTTAGAAGAGGTCAGTTCTCCAAATTCATCTCAACAAGCTTTGATCGTCACACAAAAATAAAACTTTAGAAGGTCAGATTGTCTCTTATTTCCAGCTATAATTCTTACTGATGATCACATTGACTTGATTGTAATTTAAGCGCTCCAGGAGATGACTCACTGCAGCCCTCAGTGGACCAGTGATGATGCTGGCTCACGACAAAACTGCATTCATAATAAGTACTTTTCAACCCACTGTCCCACCACCTTCATGCACAGTTTTATAACCTTCTAGGACAGAAACATGTATTTAACAGAAATCTTAAAATTGTAGTGAAATCATATTCACAAAAATTATTTCTGTGATTTAAGTTCCTCTGTTGAGAGAAAAGAACATCAACAGCACAAGCTGTTGGCCCTGTAGTTTTAGACCTTTACATACATGTTATTGTGGCAATTAATATTTCAGTCTTTTCTCTAATGATATTGTAATTAGGCCTGCCACAATAATACATTTTGAAGCATGATATCTTGCTACAGATATATGCTGAAACTACTTTATGCCACTGACACAATAATAATAAAAGCAAAACAATACCAGTAAAACCATTTTAAAATAGACAATATCATTAAAAGGCACAAATAAATAGCAGAATGAAGCAATTATTAGCTGTAGATGTTAGTTATTCAACGCTCTAATGGTCAAATCTCATCATGTTACAAACATACAACAAAAATACCCCAAATCTACACATTTTTACAAAACTATGTACTCACAATAATATTGAGTACAAAAATATATTGTTCCATCGTTCATATATTGAGCAGTAATTAGTAGTAATTATCCTGACAGGCATAATTGTAATGTAGACTAACTAAATCATGATTTTAAAGGAGATATATCCAAACATTAATGGTAAAATCAAACACTCTAAACCAACTTTGCTAACTTTCTTAACAACAGTTACATGATTTCCACACATTTTCCTTCCTCAGCAGACTGTGTCTAAAGACATAACTTTTATTATTGCCAAGTTATTTTCCCTTTCCTAAATCATTTAGCCCAACACTGAAGGGAGCTCATCTCTGGATCGTAAATGCTTTCATTGTAATCCAGGGAAATGGCGAGGCATTCAGCTGCTCGTGCACTTCTATTGTCACGGCTGTGGCTTCATTATGTGTCTGTCTGTCTGTGGAGCAGGAGCTGACCATGCATACACTGCCCTGCCCTTCTGAGCTTTGTGCTGACCGCACCGACCGGAAACTGTAATAATCCAAAGACCACCACCTTCCTTCCAACAAATGCATCTTTAATGAAAACGTTCAGCCTGGAGTAATTAAACATTCTTGGGATAAAGGTCGTTCAGCATTGCAATATAAGCTACAGAGATAGCTTCTCACTCTATCAGGCTGGGAGTTCAGGAAGTTGGGGCGGGGTTGTCAGTTTTAGAGTAAATCAGGTAAATGAAAAAATTTATGAGCAGAAATCCACTCACTATGCCGAGATCTCAACCATTTAGCTCATCCTTTTCAATTCAATATATCAATAAAACTACCAGAGACATTTAAAAATCAGGCACGAACCTAACAATATTTCTATAGAATGTTCCACAGTCTGGCATTAAACTAATCTAGTTGTTTTTTATTGCTCAATCATAACATTTAACATGTATTCTTACTGTAGACAGGGTTTCCTCTTCACAGATATGACCTGTGATGGAGATTAATGTCTTATGTGGAACATGACATGGAGAGAAGCTGGTGGCGGACCCCCCTTACATAGTGCACCTTTAAGTTCAGGTTATTGGATCACACAAATAATGGCTTGTTCAATCTGTTTTTGTCCTGGCTGTGTTGTTTGAACAGGGCCTTGTGTGCAGCCGGTTTTCCTTGTTGTTCAGATTACGACTTGATTCTTTCCCACCCAGTAAGATTATGTAATACTGCAGTGACAAAGGCTTAATCCCACTCCTCTCCCTTCTCTCTCCTGCAGGTTTTAGCCCCTCGTTTCGGGCTTCTGTGACGTCTCCCGTAGGTGCCCCTGTGCCTCTGACGCAGCACCATGGCAGGGGCGTCGGTGAAGGTGGCGGTCCGAGTCCGCCCCTTCAACTCCAGGGAGATCAGCCGCGAGAGCAAGTGTATCATTCAGATGTCTGGAAACACCACAAGTGAGTACACAGGCTCTCTTTAGTATTATTTTAATCTAGAGCAGTATTTAATTTTATAATAATTTTGGTCATAATGTAACCCACTAACCCTGTAGTTAGAAAATCTGTTCTTCATGTTGCTCTGAAATGCATGGATTTTTTTCTCTCAGTACAGCATATATTACAGTTTTGGTACCTATATCAAGCAACAGTCTTATTTCATATATGGAAGCTCATCTCATAATATTTATTTATTTATTTAGATAGTTAGTTACACAGAAACAACACATTTTTTATTCTCTCATCTTAAAGCTATAATTTAACTTTTATAATTAATACATTTTTAAATTAACATAGACTATTTACAAAAATAATAGCAGTGATCCAACAATTGTACATTTTTCTAAACAAGAAAAGATAATTTACCGATTCTATTGTTTAACACCAGCAGTAACTGTCTAGTAACTAGTCCTCCAGTCAGCTTTAATCTTCTTTTGTCATATAATGTGATTTCTAATGCCACACTGCTGGATATAGAGCAGTGATATAGACACAGCAGATGTTCACCACGGAGGTTCACACTGGTTCTCGTGGACTTTCACCTTAGAGCTTTACTCTGTTCATGATAAGTGTATTAGACTATTTGGTTGTATTATTATATTTGCGTATTTTCTAATGGTTCAATAGCTGAAGTACTAGGGGTGTAATGATATCCAAGTCTCATGATATGATATGAACGGTATGAAACTCATGGTACGATATTTATTGCGATATCGTGGGAAAGCTCACGTTATGGTGGGGAGGCTTATGATTAGAAATGTAACAATATCCAAATCTCTCAGTATGAAATTTTCACAATGTACATCTCACGGTATTTTTATTGTGATATTTTTTAGAGGCTAAAAAACTGTTAATATGCTACTTTTCCCTCTTAAACTGCCTTGAGAAGACTTAATCCAAAGAACTAAGACTTAAAAGTGCTTAGAACTGTTATTTCTTCATGTAGTCTGCACTGAAATGGAGCAAAGGATCATAGTCTATGTAGTTCCCTCTGTCTTTTTTGAGCTATTGCTGCACCATAACTCTTAATTTAAGCAAAGAGATTTGTAATTAGATATATTGTGATGGTCCACGATATTACTGTGAGAACGATTTTATTGAGGATACAATATAACAATATTTCGGTTATTGTTACATCCCTATGAGCTACCATTAAAATAATAACTTTTTTTTACTTGAATAACATGTGCCCTTCTAGCATGCTTACTCTTACATGATTAATAATACTTTTATACACTTGAACAAAAAATTACAAATCTCTAACTGCCTCAGTGGATACAAAGGATTTGTTTTTTAATCTCCTTTTTTTTGCAACCTCACACCATTGTTCTTACTTTTGTTGTGACACGACTAGTTGTAGCTTATTGTCTTGGCTTCTTGGTGGTAAGTTTTTTATTACTTTTTTGGCAAGGTGGCAAAAGAGAAATTCAATACTCTCAACTCCACATAAGTTTCGATCAAAACTTATGTCCAGTCAATTTCCTTTTGCTATGGAGCCTACCTGGGCGACTGAGAGATTACACAAAAATGTTTGGCAAAACACCTCTGCCACATTGTGCTTTCCAGTCACAGTATCTGGTTTTGATGCGAAGGTATAAAAGAGCATTATATATAAAGACTTTTTGCTGAACTTAACTTACATCTGAAATCATAATCTGATTTTATATGTGTAAAATGTCTCAAATTTAGCTGCATGAGCCCAAATATCCCTGACCACATTCCTTTAGTTGACTGTACACAAAACTCCAGAGCGGACTGGAAAGACACTCGATCTGTTCTCTGCTTTGGAAGGTAAAGCCATTCATCAATAATACATGAAACGTTCTGAAATATTTACCGTTTGGCCTAATTTAACCACCTCCCCTCCCTCCTCATGTCACGGCTGAATAGACAACATGGGTGGCTCTTTTTTTGCATGTTTTTAAGTAGTGAAAAACTTTTAGTAAGCAGTAAAAATGATAAAAAAATCATTTCACTTTAAGAAAATGTGTTGCATGTTGTTACAAGTTAGAAGAAAGTTGAAAAACAAAACTATTTTAAATTGTTTGCTGCAGTCCAAACTTATTCCTCACTTTCCAAGAGCATATTGCTTCTAAGCACTTTAATTTAACTTTCTAAGAGCGAAGTTTTGTTGTCAGAGTACAGACTACTTCCTGGAACATACAAATATTTTATAAGCAGATGCAGAGAGCACACAGCTTTTGAACATTTTGACCTTAAGAGCTGCTTTACAATAGCTGCTCTGTCTCTGTAGCCCCTTTAATGTTTTTTAACGTCATTAGTGCCACTACATTGGTATACTGTGTTTGTTCTTTCAAAACCACTGTTATAATTGTGAGCTATATCAAATTTCATATTCTTATATCAAATTTTGCAAAACACCACACTGTATGAGGTATTACATAGCCTCTGTTCTCTGCTCTGCTGAAGTCATATTGTCAGCAGTTCCTCTTGTGAGCCTAAATCGGTATCTGGGTCCATTGGGAGAGTGTTATCACTGAGCCATTATAATGTCCTTGGAAAAAGCCCTGCACAGTCACCAGCCATTTTAATCTAGCACGTTATTCACTAGACGATTTGCAATTAGTAGAAGCTAGTTCAATGTAAATCTGTGCAAAAAATTCAACATTTTTGCTTTGTAAATTATGAAGGAGTGTAGACCTAAACCCTGTACTGAAAGGTTCTTGGGCTGGTCTCAATCTGAGGTACGTATGTTCCTTTACTGCAAACAGTTTTTTAAGTAGGATGCTCCCTTGGGCCAGTAGAGGCAATGGAATGCAGCAGAGAGGACCCCCAGCCAGGTTCATGGTCAGAAGCACCTAGTACAAAGTGTTTTCTCTCTCTATTGAATTTGAAAAAACAGAAAAACATTAATAAAATCATATGAATAGGAAATACAGCCCAAGCCCGAGGACTAAAATATGCATTCAAGCTTTGTGTTTTATTCTTAAAACAGGGAGGGAATAGGCAGAAACACTTACCCCTTTAGTCAACAGAATATACCCATTGAATGATATATCGAGTGCTATTATCTTCTTGTTCAGCTAAATCTTCTACAGCTGCCTGAATAAGGAGTTTGTGTTGACCCCAGAGGAGGGTCAAGTGGGGAAGAGCAGTATTAGAGAAAACTGGAGCTGCTTGAGTCAGTGGGATGAGGACTAGATAAGAGACATAAATAGTATTCAGATTTACAGAAAGGTAAAGGACAGCACTCATCAGCTGCAAAGTAAACTGTAATGTTGGGTATATTTAGATTTAAGTTATGTAAATGTTTACATTTACTGTTTCACATAAAGGAACTGTGTCTTGTCTTCAATATAAGGTGACTTCATTTGTAATTGTTGTAAAGTTTTTTATCCAATAGGGGCACTATGTTACTTTCCAAGCTTTTAGGTGGATTAATCCCATGTATTGCACATATTTGTACTTGAACAAGACACGTGTTTAAAATAACCTTTATTGAACAGCTCGACAGCCAGGGGCATTGCCAATCATATATTAATCTTATTCGCTCAGAAGCAAGTTTCTTTGAACAGGGCAACTCAAAAGACAAGTGAAAGCAACAGGTTTGTTCAGGATCTACTAGCTTTTACACGCTATAATAGCATTTGCACGTTTAGTACATGCCAAACTAAGGACACTAGAAGATGAATGCCCTTCTCCTAAACTGCCATCAAGAAGCTAATATAATAAAAAGCATTTGAAAATAATGAAAATTAGATAAATTTGGCTAAATGTTGGTTATACATTAAAGTGGATTTTTTTTTAAAGAAATACATAAAATTAATAATTCATTCAACATTTTTTTTTTTACAACATTTAAATCTGAGTTGGTGTGGTGGTCTAGGGTGTGAAAGGCACAGATGTTGTGGATCTTCTTGTGAAAACTGGAAGGCCAGTTAGGGTTTCTAAAGAATGGAGGTGGTTCAAACTCCATTTGTGGATGTGGTTTAAATGCCAATTCAGAAACTGGTCCGAATGCCACTTGTGGTCCAAAGTTCTGCCCTTCCCATATACTATATAAGAAGGCAGCAAGCCAGGCTCCACACATCCACAGCCTCCCACAGAGGCAGCCCCAGCATCACCTTTGGGGCACTGAAGGAGAACGGCCGAATCAGTCCTGTTAATACCTGGTCAGTGCACAATGCCAATCCAAAGTCAATGAGTTTGACTTTAAACGGCAGCCCCTTATGATTAACCAGCATAATGTTGTCTAGTTTTATGTCTGTGTGCATGGCATTGCAGCCCAAGTAGAACTATCAGCAGTTGCGATGCCATAGGTCGAATCTAGCTCAGCAAAAAACTTAACCGCTGTCGCTGGAGATCAAGGACATCAAACAGTGATGTCCAGCATTTCAAATGGGATGCACTATTTACTATTACAGTAATAGCTTGTTGATTACATTTAAGGACAGCAGAAGACAGTTGTCCTTCCTCTGTAAACTACCATGCGTCAAGAAGCCGTTTAATATATTATTAAACAAGAACGGATTTCTACAAGAGAAATTATTTATACATTATATGGTTGTTAATTTTGATCACTTAAACATGTTTTTGAAATTGCACAAATTTGGAGGAATCCATCAAGTTAGTATAGAGGTGTGGGCGGGGATAGGCAAATTTTTTTTTAAACGCTCTCAACTCTAATGAAGGTTTACTCATGCATGAGTTAATGAAGGCAAAAGTCAAAGATGAGCGAAAAGCCTGGTGGTTCAAAACAAAATCTGAGTGTAATATGTCTCCTTTAAGGTGGTAAGCTTGCTTTTTGTCTGTTTTTGTCATATTAACCACTGCATCATTCATAAAGCTGGGCACATAATAGACAAATTGTAATTTATTGTACCATGTGAGTGAAGATCATCTCAGTGATTAATCATGGTGTCGATAATTGTGAATAATCATGAAATTGTGATGTTTTTTTTTTTTGTTTTTTTCACAATAATCATAATACTAAAATTTGA